TGTATTGTCCACTTCTGTCAGGATTGACCTACATATGAGTCTAACAGCGCTTTCTATAGTGGAGTTCTGCTGTGGATGAATGACTCTGCGTCTGTCTGAAAGGTTTTCCTATATTTAAAGTGTGCTTAATGTAATGTTGAAGTGATTAAAAGTACTTGAATTAATTTTTTTTGTTGATGCAAATATCACACTCAGTTTCAGATCCAGCACAAGAACTGTGTGCCAGCTGTTCAGGTTTGCACAAACTAAGTCGCATCTCTCTTACTCCCACAGGGAGATATGAGAGATACCTCACTGAGATATGGTTTATTTGTGACGTTTATCTGGTTGTAGCGCAGGTGGTCTGATGGAAGGATTTTGTTGTTTCTGCTGATGGTATAGCATTCCTAAGCCTGTTGTGGTTGTGCCGAGTATTAGAGGTACAGAAACAAAGATAAGTGTAGTCTTGAAAGAAGGCAGATGTTTTCTGCATATACTTGCATTTTATTTTATGTTTAAAACTAATTTCTTTCTTGTTGAGATTATAAGTATCAGTTTTCAGTCTTTTAATATAATTCTGGCAATACATGTTGATGTTATGTACAGTATTCCAGTTTTACAAATTATATCTAGCTACTAATTGCATATTTAATCGCAATATTTAATATTAGTGTCGTACAGAGTTGTATACCATTACATTACATTTTAGTACATTTTATTGTGGGTGGAGCAGTGAATGAAACTTTGACCTTTAGCTTTAGTTAACATTTTTATTTTTGTCCAATTCATATTTTAATTTATTCATATAAGGCAAACTCTTTGTTGAAGACAAAGTTTTGTTGGTTTAGATGACAAACAACTTCATGTTAATTTTATTCTTAAAGATAAGGCAGTGCAGATTAAGGGCAAAGAAAAATAGCAAAAATATCAAACTGTTTTTGATACTTATTCTCTGTGTTTTATGGCTGGGTTGTTGACTTCATTGTATCTGATATATCTTTATAAATATTCACCCATAATAATTAAGGCTGATATGTCCCCTCTGCTTGGTGATGACAGACATGCCCCAGATACACAGGATCAATTTGATTTTAAAACTCGCACTGATCAACTCTCATGCTCCACATCGTCTGATTAGAATTAATAGAGACAGCTATTTCTAGGAAGCTCATGTCCTCTGGCACTGCATTTAATTTGTGAAAAACATTATGCTCTGCCTAGCAATTGGACAAGATCATGATGTGATGTTGCAGACAATCTGTTTGTTTCAGCTAATGATTGGTAGAAATGACCTAGTGTCAGATTGCTTGATCAGCCTCTGAGTCAATGTAATTGGCTCTGGAAATGTTGGGCATTATTATGTCCAGAATGGTTGATAATATTGCATGATAATATTAGAAGTGTTATGTGTTCTGATGTTGGTAATAGCATTAATTTCTTTATTATTTTCTTTTCAGTTACATGAGTTCTGATGAATACCAACAAAGCTTCATAACAGGATCGCATTTGGATGACTGTAACTTTTAACTCGTTATGCATTTGTTATTCTCTCTGCTTTACTAGAGAGCTGAGTGAACACGTGAGAACATAAATTTGAATGTTTTATTGCTTTGCATTTGTCTCCTTTGCAAGTCTTTAAAGACTGTCTTTTGCATTTAGTCCATTTAATTGATAATGATGATGTAATGATTTCATTTAAAACGAAAAAAACTGCATTGTTCATTTCTCTTTTCTAAAAAATCAAACAAAAGATGTAGCGTCTTGTTGAGCTATTGGGGATCTAACACCCTGAGTCATTAAATTCAAATAATTCCCGGTTGTAAGTACAGCAAGACTGAAAAGAGCAATTTATCAAGGAATTATCACTGCTTTAGATGGCATATGACATGGAATTTAATCCATCTAAATTCTTCAGCATGACATCTTATTAAGATTACATTTACATTTGTGTGCACATTTCTGAACTTTTGCCCTATAATAGATCATGAATTAGTCTAAAGGATAAGTCACAAATTACATCAGATTTTCCTTCCAGCAGATGACTCCCCTTTGAAGAAAATGGAGAGAGAAAAAGATATGATACAATTATAATCATATTTATATTTGATATTTGTATTTTACTTTATATTGATTTGAAATGATTCCTTTCAGCCTTTTTGAATGGATGTTCCCCAAACCGGAAGTGACACCCATAATAATTAAAAATGCAGTAAGGTCGTCAGGGATAAGGTGGATCATTTTAATACTCTATGGGTTGTATTTGGTTGTGCTGTAGTAATACTTTGTAATTGATACGGAACTTAATATTTAACCAGTGTTGAGGTGATAAAATTGGTGTTAAATGATCATATTTTCTTGACCTAAGAACTCTAGCAGCTGCATTTTGCAAAATATAATTTTCAAAGACAAGTTACGGAATTGCCATATGATGACCAGCCAAACAGATGTGATTGACGCTGATGAATTTCTCACATGGTTTCTCTGACAGATGGAGAGTTTTGGCATTTTAAACAAATTGGAGACTGTTTTCAAACAGGATTTTTGTCTTACATCAGTGGTCTTGAACTTTTCGACTGTATCCAATAATCAATGTCATAATTAATTATTCTTTTTGTGTAGAACAAAATAATTTAATTAACAATGTAATATCATTATTAAGTTAACATGTGATTGACTGCCTTTATTAAGCTTTACCTTTCCACCATGTTTTTTTTACCTTTGTATCAATTCAATTTTTGGTGTTTTGATGTTTGTTTAAATGGTTATTGTTAGAAAATAACAAACATGCAAATTAGGGTTTTCAATTTAGACAAATCCAACATTTTGTTTCAGGGGTGTGTATCCCATTTCCATTTCCCATGTATCCCCAATTCATTAAAAATGAATATAAAATGAAGATATTTTTCTTTGACCTCCTGAGGTTGACGAACAGCATTTTCTATAGGTTAAATCTTTTTCACTGACCAGTCTTAAATCGAGTTTCATTCCCTGATTTTTACCATGGAAATTGGATTTTTTTATTCCACAAGAAGAGAAATGGACTTTCTGAGGTCACACAAGTTCACTTTTTTTTTTCCATGTCAAAGTTGAACTAAACCATCCCAATTGTTTCACGTGTTCTTGCTTTATCGCTATGTTTTTGGGATGTCATGGAGTTGCTCATTATATAACCTTACGTAAGTTCAAATAGAAGACCAGATTTCAACAGCTTTCCTTACGAACCCAAATATGCCCTCTCAGAACTGATAACGCTGCAAAGTCAAAGATGCACTATGTAACGCTAACCTTGACCTTAAGGGACTTTCAGTATTAACTGCAACAGCACATTCATTATTTAAACATTTTCAGTTAATAAAAACATTCTGATAAACGCAGTCATGAAATTAGGAATACCAAAATGAAGGTCTATGTTTATCTTTTTATTGTGTTAACGGGTATTTTGTAGAAATAAAGCTCTGTGAATTAATTTCCACCTGTGAGCATTTATTTTCTCTCAGTCCATCTGTGATGCACTATCAGGCTGTTTTATGGTTTAATCTCAGGTGATAGTTGGATTCATATTGCGACTCTATCTCAGCTCTACTCAATATCTGAACTGTAGGTCAGTTGCATGAATCATTCATGCTGATGGCGATCATAGGGCCTACAATATTAGCTTGTGGACCAACATTATTAGCTTCTGGACTCCTCGTTGGTTGCTTCTCCAGCCCAGTAAACAAACACACGCATTCCCAAACACCAAAATTATATATAGTGTTGATGCTGAAAACTGATGAATATTTGATTTTGCTTCATCTTCCTTGTGTGTCTGTGATCCATAGTAAAGAGATTTCTTTCTGAAACCTCTCTTCTTGCATTTTTATTTATTTATTTATTTTTTTTGCGTTTAGTCCGCAAGTCTTGCTAGAATGCCTTGAGGGAAGGATGGTAGGTTTTACTGGGGAGATGAGCTTGGTGCTGAAACAAGCAAAAGCCTTCGTATTACCTTTTAAAGACAATCAACTATCGTGATCTGCTCTGCTTCCCTGTGGGGGTTTCCAGCTTTCCTCTAGACCGGGCCAGGCTGCTTCGACATATGAGTCAGTGTTTGGAAGTGACAGGGCATTAGTTTGCTTAGCCCAACTTACAAGAGTGCCTCCATAACCTCCAGTGTCATGCAATCACATAAGAAATAGGGAGGCAGGCGGCCCCTACATACTCTATTACTAATGAGTTTAGTGGTGGCATGCTTTCAGTCCACAGATGTCATGGTGATGAGTGTGTGTTTCATTAGATATGCAAAGTGAGGCTGCGTATAATAAGCACATCCTACTGACATTTCAGTTCATCCATTTGGATTTAGTTGATTCTTTGTTGATATCTGGATTTCAAATGTTTATTTCTTTTGCAAGTCAGGCATTGTTGGTATATTATGTGTCATGTATTCATTTGAAAATGAGTACATGGGTATACTGTATCTGTTTGTTTAGATGTGTACACAACCCTTCAAAGTTTTAGGTTGGTAAGATTTGTTTAAGTGTTTTTAAAGAAGTGTCTCATTCTCACCCTGATTGATTTATTTTATATAAAATACAGTAAAACTGTAATATTATGAAAGTATCTGTTTTCCTTAATACATTTATAAATGTTTCACATGATCCTTCAGAAATCATTCTAATATGCTGATGTTAATCTAATTTCTCATACTCATTAGGATTCTATGATTAGTATTTGAAAAGAATAAAATGTATATAAAATAGAAATGTTTTGTTACATAAATGTCCTTTTCTGCCACTTTTGATAAAATTAATAAATGAGTTTTTGCTATATAAAATGTTTTTTTTTTTTTTTTTTTTTTTTTTTACTGAACCCAAACTGTAATTTGAAGTTTTGGTATACTGCATCAAATATTATTATTATTATTATTATTATTTTTTTTTTTTTTGGTGTAAACTCAAAACAAGAACTTTTGGGTACTGTGCAAAGTTTAAATAAAGACAGGAATCAAGGTCTCTCTAACTTTCTTAATTTCTTTTTTTTAGCGGTGGATTTGCAAGGCTGCTGTCCGCACACCCGGTTTGTAGTGCCTCCGAAGACAACACACTGGGTGGCCATTATGCAGAGAGGGAAGTGCACCTTTAAAGAGAAGATCCTTAAGGCAGCAGCTTTCAATGCCTCGGCCGTCATTATCTACAATAACAGCACCAAAGAGGACACCGTCACAATGGCTCATGAAGGTGAGCTCCATAATCGATGTATTCTCATTAAAGGGGCACTTTATTCAATCTAATAAAACAGTTTAGAAATCATTTGAATGGTTCAATACACTGATTTCACGCAGCCGCCATTTTGAAATGGCTCCGGTGGGAAGAAAACCGGAAGTGTCCCTTTTAATCATAGGAGAGTCACGAATTGTTGTGTTTAATGTAGAAATTAGTTATTCTAAAAATGTACATACATTTCTTTCATATTTTAGACTGTATACAGTGATATAATATAATTCAGAACGTAAAAAAGCTCTCTCTCTCTGTCTCTCTCTCTCTCTCTCTCTCTCTCTCTCTTCTGAGCTGTCACTCACACACAAGTTTTGTGCAGTGGACTGGAGACAGTCTGGGGGAAAACGTTGCTGTGCTCAGCTATAATGCATTCTTGTTTATTTACTTATTTATTTTTATTTTTAAAAAAAAAAAGCATTTTGGTGAAAGCAATAGCTGACACAGTAATTTCAATGCCTTTTACATTCCATTAAGTGTTTACTAAACAGACCACACAGATGCTAACCGGACATGATACAACTACACCACGATACATCAAGCTAGGCGTAATACATTATGGATTATTTATTATCAATTATACAAGTGTTTATAATACTTGCATGTGACTTTAATTGTGTTTTCTTAGTCAGATTATAGTCCAATCCAGTAGATCAAGTCTAGATATTGTAATGTATGCAGTTAAAACATTTATTTTAAGTATTGCAAATTCTAACAGTGATTTCATAAGTTGTGCTTTTATGTTATCTATTCAAAATGTGTAGATTTTTTTTTATTTTTTTATTCTTTGTTTTCATTTTGTTAGTCTGTTTGAGGAAGACTTATTTAGTTTTGTTTTAAAAGTTGTTGTCTTTTTTTATCTGTGCACATTGTGACTGCCTACTGATGTCTTTTGGCGGTTGCATCGTGACTTTTTTTAAGATGATTTAAAAAACTAATTTCAAACCCCATGTGTTCTGTTCCATTTATGTGGTGCTTCGTTTAGCTGTTTTTGAATCCTGTGTGAATGTTTCCTCAGTCATTCTGTGCTGCCTGCTCTCCGTAAGTGTGGTTTGTCGAGGTGTGTGACCTGTAGTAATGGAAAGGACCAAAACAACAACAAAAAACAAAACAAAATTGTCACTAGCAAATTTGTGGATGACTCTTAGTTGTAGCCAAAACAGTAGCCTTGAGGAGCACGAGTATTCAGGAGGACCAATGCTGATTGTTACATTTTCAAGTCTGCTGGCTTGAATGTTATCATTTGTGGAGTTTGGAAAGTGTTGTGTGTGTGTAGGTATTTCATAATTTGTCTTAGAGCTGTAAACCTGCTGTGAGAGTGTGACTGGGACTGTTTGTTTGGTTTTAGAGGACATTCAGACATGATGAAGGACTGCGTGTACTGGAATCTTTCTGCCAGAGCAGTCACTATTCTGCAGGTGCACTTTCTACACACACACTTCTACCTTGGCATATATGCAACAGTTTTGGATGCACAGAGCACATTGGAATCAACCTAAAACTTGTAAGCAGTGTCTTTGGACATATGATGGGGTGGGTCGACGTAGGAACAGGAGAAAGGGGAGAGATGGTGAGTCACGGCAGGACTATCAGAATGGAATCGATGAGATGTTTAAATATAGCAGGACTGCATGATTTATTCAAAAGGTCCTTTTCCCCTGCCACATATGGGATTCAAACCTCTTTAAACAAGCTGTAAAGGATAGGTACCTTACGATTCGTTTAAATTGGGATTATAAAGTAGTGCTGTCAAATGATTAAAATATTTAATCGCATTAATGTCATAGTTAACTCACGATTAATCGCACATTTTTACCCATTCTAAATGTCTCTTGATTTATTTTTGTCACATTATTATTTTTTTATTATTATTTATTTCCTTTTAATGCTCTTATCAACATGGAAAAGTGTAACGGCTTGCTTTGTGCAAAAGTATTTTTTTTATTTTTCTTATTGAAAACAATTGGCATACACAGTGTTCAATTTTACACTAACGTTCTCACTTGGAGCAAATAATCTCACAAAATGATCAATAAAAGGGTGAAAGAAATACTGATGAGGTCCAGATATTGATGAGGGGGTGGAAAATTCGCATCAGCTATGTATGTGTGCTTGCATGGCCATCGAGTGGTATTTCAGACTTGACGTCGTTAAAATGGGTTTGCGTTAATACTGTTAATAACGCGTTTAATATAAAGTCATGACTGAGACAATTGTGCAAGGGTTCTCTGTTCATCTCATTTTTTCAGCAAGAGTGTAGGGAAGCAAGTAAATCTATAGGTAATTTAAATCGTTAAGGTGACTAACTTGCTGCCAGTTCAGCGTTAAAATCTGTGGCTTTGTAAAATGTGAATGAAATGCCACATTAGAGGACTGAAAAAATACTAAAATAATTAATAACTACTAAATTACTAAACATTTTACAAAAATAAAAGCTAATTTCAATAAATATAATAATATTATATAAATGTGTAAAGTTTTGTGTGGATACTTGAGAAAGAATCACAATGCATTGACTTATCCAGAGAGTTCATTGTTCTAGCACTAAATGACAAATTGTGTATCTGATTTTTATACATGTAAGACAATATATTTATATATAGGTTTCAGTCACCCAATTCAAATAAACAAACAAACACTACATTTAGATAAACATATGTTCTACAGGAAGTTTGTGGTTTGTGTATGTGCATGTGTGTGTGGGTGGAGAAGTGTTTTTAACACAAAAGATGCAAGCAAACTGACACTCTTTTTAAGAGCAAGTAGCTTAGGAGAGATTTAGTTCCAGTAAGCCACGCAGTTGTCGTATTTGTATCAGGTTTTGTTATGATGTTTTACTGAAGAATAACCAGGGACTGTTTTAACCATACAAACCATAGATTTGTTTTAGTTTAAGTGATGTAGATTGAAGTGTGAAGCTAAAGTGTGAATGTGTTAAAGTCCAAGAAATAAAAGCACATATATTAACTCTGCTCTGCATTTACTGAAAACCAATATTTTAAAATCATATGTAGAGTGCATCAAATTTCATAATGCCACGTCCTCTTTTTGGCAACTGTGGTTTGAAGGATCACATCACCTTTACTGTCAGAGTCAGTCAGCATGTGCAGGGCTTAAGACCACCTTTGAGGGAGTTTCCCTTTTAACAAAGATCAATATCCGCATGCCTTGACCTTTACAGCAGGAACAGTCGATAATGAATAAACAGCACATTACAATGTAAGGCCATTCACGCTTTTTTCCCCGCCTCCTTTTAATTTAAGAAGTTAATGTTTCTACATGCATAAAGGACAAGTTATTAAAGGGTTAGTTCACCCCAAAATGAAAATTCTGTCAGTAATTACTCACTCTCATGTTGTTCCAAACCTGTAAGACTTTCGTTCATCTTCGGAACTTGATTAAATCTGAGAGCGGGCTTCTAAGGTATCGAAACTAGCAGGCCCAGAAAAGTTAAAGACATCGTTCAAATAGTTCAAGTGACTACAGTGGTGCTATCTTAAAGTTAAGCGATGAGAATACTTTTTGTGTGCAAAAAAATAAAAAAAAACTTTTTTCTATTAATTTTATTCTCTGTGGGCCTCGAGATTTCACGTAGTCTAATGCCGAGTTCAGACTCCACGATTTTCAAAGTATTTGAAAATATTATTATTATTATTATTATTATTATTATAGCTTATCATATTTAGTTTGATAATACTGTAAGAACCAATGTCTAACAGACTGTGCCCATAGAAGTGAGTTATGTATAATGATGTATATCTGTTGGTTTTTATGCCTTTTATGGAGAAAAATGGCCTTGAAGTGGATTGGAGCTTTTCAATCTAGAGCAAATTGTCCCTGTCCTGCCCTAGACATCATCTTTACTGCTGACAAACTGCCTTCTGAGCCAGGCAGCATGCCAGTCTCATTCTCACATGCTTACACACACATATACAAGCGCTTGCATACACCAATGCGTTCAAAAATCTATACAAAATCACACCAACAGGTAGACTGCATAAGTAAGCGTTTGTTTATACAAGATAGCGCACATATTGTCACACACAGGCAGCCACATTCACATGGATATTCTCTGACATCCAGACTCCTTTCTCACACTCAGGATTTGGCTGTAAGATGCAGCCGTTTTTATACACAAGGGATAATGTACCCTTGATTGCTTCCATAGCAAATGCATGCCTGTTCAATATTTGGTCGTATACTACCGTTAGTTATTAATCAACCTGATTACATGATTGAGACCGTGATATCCATAGCAATGGATGAAACAAATATGATTTATGTCAAATGATCTGTGCATTAAGTCTTGGAGTGGAAATGAAAAATAAGACCTGCCACTTTTTCTAAAATGTGTTACATTGTTCATTTTAAAGCTAACTTTCAAAGCAGTCACTCAGTAACTTTTATATATAAATGTATGGATTTTTCACTGTTTTGGGCTCGCAGTTGACATGGGTGGGTACTTTGTACTGAATGACCCTGTTCACCATCACCGACACCGAAATTATTAAATGATACAATTTAAGTTCATCTTAAATACATGTTATCATATTTTTCGTAAAAGTAAGAAAAGCTGTGTTTGCAGCCACTCAATGAGAATACTCAAAATTTACTAGCATCAGAACAATGTCTAGAACAAATTCATGAGCAAATGAACATGTTGTGAATTGGGCGGAGTAATGTAAGTATTCTTGTGCATACAAATGCAAAATAATCCAAGCAATTATAAGTGAATCTAGACCCATTCTCTAAATGCATCGTTTGTATACAGTAGGTCAGTATCTCAAATTTGATTGCATTTAATAAGTGACCCAGAAATCAATTTTATATATATATATATACATTCTCATATTTGGCAGTAATAAAGTTGCTAAGCTCTGCCAAGCTTTTAGGAATTTTGAGATTTTTTTCACTATGCTTTCATCTTAATGCTTTAAGAAACAACAGCTCCATGTGGTTCCTTCAAAAACATGTTGCTACTGTCTGTCTATCTCACAAATCTCTCTAGCTATCTCTCAAAATATTTCAAGTTTGTGCCATCAGGGGTTATTTCATATTTTTGCTATGGTCAAAAAATAACATGTTATGTTACATTTACCTAAACATATTCTATCATCATCATAATAGTTATGTGATGCTATTTCTCATCGCATTTGTTATAGGGCAGTTTAAATGCAGAATATGGTGAGATTAGATCACTGACTAGGGCAGGTCTGCAATAGGTTTCCATCTGTACTGTTCTAACCTTATTATTGCTAAGCCTGAGGGCCCGAGTTATATCAGTGTCTGTGGCATGGCCTAAGCTCCAGATCGGTGTAATTGTGTGTTTGCGGTGGGGGGGCTGGACGGACGAAGTGTTTGTCCTCATTTTCGGTTGCCATGATTACTGTGCCATTTGTGTGACCAGGAGCATTACACTGAATTGGACAAGATCAGTGCATCTATGTGAGATGTTTTGATATGCTCTGAAAAGATAACCAAATAAATAATACATAAATCTGGTGCAACCTGAAATAGATTGTGTATCTTTCTTGTAAAATGTTATGTTTGAATGGAGCCTTGTATATTTGTATCTTAGTACTAGTATTACTATTAGTATTACTGTTTGTTTCACAAAATGTTCTCATATAATTTCTTTCTCCAAAGGCACTGGAGACATAGTGGCAGTGATGATCACTGAGTCCTTTGGAAAGGAGATTCTGGGATTCCTGGAGAAGAACCAGACTGTGTTGGTCTCCGTGATGGTGGGGTCACGAGGGCTGCCTAAGAACATCAACCGCGGCTCCTTGGTGTTCGTCTCCATCTCCTTCATTGTACTGATGATTATCTCCTCTGCTTGGCTAATATTCTACTTCATCCAGAAGATCAGAGACACCAGCGCAAGGGACCGCAGTCAGGTCTTAAACAACACACAGTTCCTTTGAACAAAACACACACAAACCCAGTCTCACCCTCAAGCTTGCAGCCAAAACCTTGCCAGATTTTTCTTTCAAAGGCCCCCCTCATATTTAACAGGCTAATCTGACCTTCAAGAACTTCCCGTGTGCTCAAAGATGGTAACAAATGGCTCGTCCTTCCTAGCTTGTGTGTGTGTGCGCGCGTGTGTGACCTTATTTCTCCACTGTAGTATTTGTCTCACAGACCTTTTGCTATTACCAGACCTCTGAATTCACTACTGAACGGGTTATAATATAAACGGGTTATAATAAGGTGGTAATAACAGCTGCTGGTATTTTATGAAATATGTAAAATCTGAATCTCTTAGTCACCACCTAGATTTGAAATATTAGACAAAGTTGAAATAAATGCAAAGAGATCTCTACACAATTCACATTACAATATAAATGTATTGTTTATACTGTAGAGGAGTTAAGTAAAAAGTGTGCATTTATATGCAAGGCCTTGTGCAAATTATGCTTAATAACTTGATAATGTGTATGGTTACTTAAACTGCATTGATTATATAGGCAAAATGGAAAAGAGTGCTCTGCACACATGATTATGGCTTATTCACTGTGCAAATTTGTCTTGTAAATAAATACATCTGTTAATGATATGATGTAGAAAATATTTTAATAATAAGACAATTTCAAAATCTAAAGTAAACATTTTGTTGTGTAGTAGTAAGCTGACTTATGATCAAGTATTTTGATGTACATTTACAGTACAATGCTGTTCAAAAGCTTGGGGGCAGAAATATATATATATATATATATATATATATATTTTAAAATGAATTAATACTTTTATTCAACATGAATACTATACATTTACTAAAAGTGACAGTAAAATAAAGAAAGTAAAATTAGAATGAATTCTGAAGGATCATGTGCTCATCAACAACACATGTGCACTTCATTTGAAAATTCAGCTTTGCCATCACAGGAATAAATCACATTTTAAAATATATTCAAATAGATGGTTATTTTAATAATTTTGTTAATAATATTTCACAATATTAAAGGTAGGGTATGGGATTTGCAAAACGGCCGGCAGATTTTGAAAATACACAACTTAAAAGGTCCTACCATCTTTCGTCCAACGCTGGCCCTGACTCCACCCATTCGAAGAACATGGATGCGCAATCATGCATCTGCAAAACTCAGATGCGCGAGATTGCACTTTTTCTCTTTCTGTACCGAGGCGTTGCATTTACTGTGACTGGGTCACAAGCTTTGAGTATGTGCAGACATAAGGGGACAGAAAGGGACATTCGCGTGAGGGGGAGGGGGGTATAGACCTTATTCAGAGCAGCGCCATGACAGGTATGAAAGTGAGGCTGTAAGAGATAGACTTACCGTGTTTCCAATGGCATCGACTGTAAAAAGCTGAATAAAGCGGCTAGATTACTTACAATTACCTCGCTTTCATTCTCATTAAAAATCAAAGATGGCGCTGCCGTGAATAAGGTGTATGGTCTGACTGTTTGATTGACACACTGACTGTCTAATGATTCTAGGTAGTCTTGGAAATGATTGGCTGGAGTTTTTCAAGTCCTGCCCGTTCCACAGATTATTAAATTTTCATTTCAGTGCTTCTAACTCAGTGGTTGTAATAGTGTATAAGTGGGTTAGGAATAGGATTTCAAGTGATTTTGAAAAAATGGTCAAAAAAGAAAATCACATACCCCCCTTTAAATAAATGCATCTTTGGTGACCAAAACAGATTTCTTTCAAAAATATCTGAAAAAAAAAAAAAAAATACTTTTTTTTGCAAGGTGTAAATGTATTTGTATAATTAGCAGGTCTTTTTACTGTTTTAAATTTGTCATAAATGTAATTGCTAACACATCTTGTACATTTCATTGACTTGTTCTTTAATTAAGCTAATTATAATTAGTGCAGACTGACCCTAACCCCTTTGGCATTTTTAAACTTTAATTAAAAAATAATTTGGCCATTTAATGAACCATACTTGGTCAATATTAGTCAATTTTAAGAGGTTTATGTCTCAGTCTGTATTTGTGAGAACATTTTGAGGCCTTTGCAAATATAGCACACACAAAAGCTTTAGTTAGCGCTAATCCTTTGGGCCCTGGTTGGTCCTTTGGCGTTTTCTGTGAACTGTCGACAATAAATCACTGAGCTATTTATTTAGCAATAAACTGGCAGAATGAAGACCGAGGACATCTCAGAACATACACTTATAAACACACACAGACAATGAACTGCCCATCTCAAGCTGCACTTAGTCTTATTTATGGCCATCTCTGCCATGCCTTTTGCTAACTCTGCCTTGCCTAATGCAATCCTGATAGACACTCAGATATGTTGCTTTTATCACAATTAATATCGCTAATGCTTTCTCCTCATTATTATTTACCCCTACCTTGTTTATCAAAATCTGAAATGTATTCCTTAACTCTTATTAGTCATTTTAATTTCCTGTTTCATTAAATCAAGCTGCGAATCTAAAAGTGTTTGACTTATTCTCTTCTCTTGTCCTTTGTAACTATAGCGACGGCTGGGAGATGCTGCCAAGAAGGCTATTAGCAAGCTGACTACCAGGACAGTAAAAAGAGGGGACAAGGTGAGGTCTTTTGATGTCATTGCTTGTTTATTTTTTCTCAGGCTCATGTCCATGACTGTTATGGAACCGTTTCCTGTTATGGAACAGTTTGTCTAATTCTCCATTCATAATGCATCTCCATACTCGACTCAATGGACGCGTACACGTACGACTCACTGGACACGTACACAGTACAGCTAAATATGGTTGCCACTCTTCTTCCGAGTGCTTAGTCACATTCTTTATGCACACATCTTGGTTATTTACAGCTGCATTCGACAAATAAATGAATTCTTGAAAAATACATGAAATCCAAGTTTCTCCAACCAGTCTTGCAGTCTAGCAAGAACCCATACTTTACAATCCAGAGTGCATGCAGTTTAAAAGCAGACGTCTGAAGAGCATAAACAGAACACGGCGCCTGAAAATTGCTGGATGATGATATGTATCTGATCACTATTATTACATCAGAAAAGGCAAACTCAGAACAGGTTAAACTGTTGAAATCCATGTTTCAGGGTACATCCAAACAGACTGCACTGCTTTTATGTAAAGTGACTAGGGATAACAAAAACTAAAGCACAGTAAATGCATCCGTCATAGACCTTTCGTTGATAGAATTGATTCTTTTATATTTATGACTGATTGCTCTTGATTTAATCAGTAATTGGCCATTTAATATTGGTGGTTGACAGGTTAGGTTCAACTCAGCAAGTAATCTGACTGATTGTACCACAGTCTAAAGAGACATTGACCTGTGTAAAGGTGAATGACTGTCAGGTGAGCGAGTCAGGGCCGTGAGACTTCACAACTGTTAGGTTTGGAGAAGGGGTGTAGCCGTGCCAGTCAGTGCATATCATAGCCCAGTCAAGGTCAGCTCACATCAGCTATGAATAAAACATCAGTGGCCTTGGAGAAGTGCTGCAAGAAATTGAAACCATTCATCTGAGAGGTCATGCTCAGTAGAGATTGAGTGAGAGAAGGTGTGTCTGTCTTCGTCTATCTCTCTCTCTCTTTCTCTCTCTCTCTCTCTCTCTCTCTACTTTTTCCTTTTTAATCGCATACACATTTCGATCAGTAATGACACATTTTCCTGAAGCATCTTTACAGCTTCACTGCTTTTGGACGAAGCCTCTCGGCCTTTGAGTATTGGCCAGCTCCCTCTGCAGGGACCGGCAGGACCACAGTCGATGACTCTTGCGCTAAGAGGGGCCCATTAGAAACCGAACACCACTCACCACAACATGACCTTGACCATGCAGAGTAGACAGGACACTGCCAGGTGACGGAAATAGCATCTAGAGTAGAGAAGGTGCTTCCAGGAAGAACAAGGCATAGTGTGAAATTAAACCTAGGAGGATTTTTGTCACTTTCTAAATGGCTCCATTGCCCAGGGAGGCCGAGTTAGCCAGCTGAGTGATGCGTTGCTTATCAGAGGTGTATTTATACTATGATGATAATATTTAAATAGTATTTGAAAATTGTACTGCTCTTTGGTGTACTTCATAATTGTAAGTCTTACAGGAATATGATTATAGAGTAAGAATACCATAGAAGCATTGATATTCTGATAAATAATACAATTAATATTAGATAATGATTAGGATTATTTGTATACTGTTGTAGTATTTATGAATATTTTGAATTGGCTCGTTTTGATATTTTTAGTTTACCTTTTAATAATCTTGTTATCTGCTTTTGTGTTTTTATTAGTTATTTAGTTTAGGTTTGGGATATTAGAATGTTTAGGTTTAATTTCTTATTTAATTTAGGTTTTAATTAAAAAAAAAAAAAAAAAAAAAAAAAAAAACTTGATAAGGACGTCCTTACTACATTTATTCATGCCCCGGTCTGAGTCATTGAAAAAAAATCTGCCCATACCAAGTCCCGATCTATTTTTTGTATTTTCCTAGTGCTTGGTGCACATTTCAAGCACATTGGGTTATTAAAATCATTCCAATGTAATCAGGGCCTTGCAGAGAGTTCCTCAGGACATCTATCACACAGAGTAATTCCACCTTAACAATTACTATAGTAAATGGTTATTATGGTCACATATTATGGTAAAAGTGCAAGTTATAAATATTTACTCAAAGGAAAAGTAATAATCTGAATAGTTAAATAGTTAATAAAAAAATGCAATGAAAAAACTACTCAAGTAGCTAGTTACTAGTAACTTCGGATCATATGCTTTCACTTGACTGTAGGTTCACGGACACTTCATCCAACGCTCTTGGTGTTCTCGAACCTTCCTGTTACGACTCGAGTGTGAAACCGCTTCAGACAATCCATTGCTTGCAGGAAACCAAACAAATCATTCAAACTCATTTGCGAACCAATTTAGACCGGTCTGCCAACTTGTTTGATGAAGTCTTTGAACAGAATCGAGTCAAAAAGTGTTCGTTTGTGAATTGAGCATTGTTTTTTTTTTCATTAGAAATGTATTCGAGTTAAAGTAAAAGTACCCACATTTAAATCTACTCTTAAAACTACAATTTTTTTTCCAAAAAATACTCAAGTAAATGTAACAAAGTAAATGTACTTCATTACTACCCACCTCTAGGGACTACTGTTTTAAACTTCTTGTATTTTATATGTGTAAGCAAAGCAATTGCAAGAAAAAAAAAAAAGTGGAGATAAGATTAGAAACCATGAAGGTCACAGTGTCAGAATGCCAGTCTGTCAGACAGATGCTCGAACATGCATTTCATGACACCTGTGTGACCACACTTGATGTACAACACTTCGGATCGCCGATGCTGATCAGTTATCTTATATCTTTTTTAATTTCAATTAATGAAAACAATTTTTAATAGTTTTTGTTTTAGTGAATGATAACACTGTTCATCGCTAAAATAAACAAAGCAATAACCAGATACACAAACATCACTATACTAGATCATTTTGTCATGATCTGGTTTTTCGTAATTGATACTAAAGGTTTTTTATAACCCAAAGCTTAGTATTTTTAGTATGAAATTAGTAAGAAAGCTTAGTATTAAGCTTTGTTAGTCCTTTTGTAGAAATACAGATCACTAGTCACTCCTACAAGTAGGCAATGTTTCCTCAGTGATGTCAAGATCGGCTTCAGACTGACCTCACAGGTCAGTCTAATGACAGATGGGCTGAAAGCGGAGCCAGAGAAATACAGCATCTTTGACACATTGTATCTACTAAATCTGCTGAACGATCTCCTGCTCTCTCCTGCTCACTCATCCTCCAATAAATAGATGGATACAGAAAGTTGACATGAGTTTCTAGAGCTATACTGATTAAATGTTTTCCACACTACTTTCTGATTTTACTCTATTTATATTCCTATTTTTGGGGTCTGTGTTAGGAAATTATTTGACACAAAATACAGTCGGAATGTTCAGAATGGCATGCTATCAAACCTCATATGGAGTATGCAGTATGTGTACGATGCAGGGTATGCAAATCTACTGTGTTCTTGGAATACTCAGATGGCCTACCTCATTTGCCAAAATGTGCAGCACACAACCACTTCATTAATTCATTCATTCATTCATTTATTCATTCATTCACTCATTCATTCACTCATTCATTCAGCGAGTGACAACCAACCATTGACTGCTCTTTTTTGTGCCTTAACTTATTGTTTGATTAGACTTCCAGAAGTTAAGAAATATGCTCTGTTGTATACACTATTGCACTCAGAATGTACTTGATATATATGATATATATTTTGCTATTGTAACTGTACAGATTGCTGTAGTTGGACTAATCTGTTTGAAGAATTTAGGTCACTACTGTATGAAAGTATTATCTAAACCTTAAATGGTGAGCTTGAGAACAGCTGGGTGACTTGAACGCTAGGAGGTCAAGAGATCAGATCAATATAGAGTGTAATGCAGGCACTCAAAGCATATTGCCAAAAGAATTTCACACTTTATAATATTTCTCATAAATGCATGTCATAAGGCCAGCATGCATATTTAATAATAATGGGCTTGTATGCTTAAGTATAAATAGTAGGGAGGATACAGGATACAGTAGGGATTTCTGTATGTTATATATATTTTTTTGAGTTGTATAAATGTTATAATTTAGATAGTTATACAATAAAAGTATTATTTTAAAATTGTTGTCATATAGTCATATTGGGGGGGGGGGGCATATTTCTTTTTCTTTCTTTTTTTTTTTTTGTTGTCCTTAGCTGATCACATCCACCAAGTAATATACAGCAGGACATGATAATGGTTGCTTGATTTCTATTTCTGTGTTGTTCTGCTAAGTAGCATTGGTCAAAAATGCAGCCCACATAACCATTTTAAAAATGAAAGATAATCATAATTGATAAGTTTAGAGTATGTCATGTCATACAGCGTTTTTTTAGCGTTCTTCTAGTGTTGTCAGTGGTCATTAATTGCATCTTCTAAATCTTCTAAATTGCAGTTTCTGTCTTATGACATTGACTCTCTGTCTTGTTTGACTGGCAAATGATCCTAAAGCTGCCGTAATGTATATTACAGGGGTGCCCTAATATTACTTATAATGTTGACATTTTCATTTTTAGCTACATTTTGACTTCTGAAAAAGCTCATTTTTATTATTTGGCTTGTTTATTTTTTTTTCAGGAAACAGAACCAGATTTTAATCATTGTGCAGTGTGCATTGAAGGTTATCAGCTAAACGATGTGGTCCGCATCCTTCCTTGCAAGTAAGTGTGTGTTTAGTTTTGCTTTGTGTAATAAGGGCATTATAATCTCCACAAAAGTCTAGGCACACAATGTTTCTGTCTTTCTTTTGTTTTTTTTTTTTTTAATGGATATAATGGTTTAATGGTTAATGGATTATAACAATATAGTAGTTGTAATAGTAGTAATGATTGTATTTATAATAATTTGAATTCAGAATTTGTTCAGGAAACTTCCCTTGCTATGGTGTAGATGAAGATATTTCTGTCTTCTTAAAGCTACAGTCCGTAACTTTTTTGGGTTTAAAATGATCCAAAATAAATTTGAGCAAGTACATAACCAGCCAGTGTTCAGAACTATCAGCTTGCCTCTCGATTAAAAACGTTAAGCTGGTAATAATGTTTTTAATTCCAGTGGTATTGGTGGATTTCAGCGAGAGATTAAAGCATGTCTTTGCGTCATTACGTCACATCTACACACATAAAAAATGACCCGTTGTAAAATGCGAAAGTCTTTGGACTGAGAGTTTGCACGGTTTGATGTGATATGATCGTTAGATTTACTACAATGCTTTTTTTCCCTTTATTGGTCAGAAAAAACATGGATGTTACTTGTTCAGATGACAATTTAGTAGACTTGTAGTCAAGACCGCCTAAACCGAGACCAAGACACTACCAAGACCAGAGGATATCTGTGCCAAGTAGGAACCAAGGTTGTGACCAGAGGGAAAAAAAACAGACTAGTGTTGAAGCTAAGCAATAACTTGTAAGATTTTGTTTTGCTTTCCCTGCCTATCTCTGCCGATTTCGAAGTCTCCAAATGAATCCATTCTGCAACTTTTAAATGCATAATTATATTTTTAAAAATGAAATTATAGGCTTCAGTGCAGGATCCGAAAGTTGGTCGTTTTGTCGCTATGGTTACACACACACACACACGCCGTTAGTGGTGCGCTCAAAGTTTTCTGTCAGTTGTGCAGTTACCCAAATCTCCTGAATGAAGTTAAAACCCATCATGTCACTGATATGCGTTTTACTAAATATTAATAAATCAAAAACTGTACATGATATGTGTTTTACTAAATCAAGTAATCAAGTAGTCTTGTTGCCGCAGCGATCAGTGGTGTGGATACGGTAACAGTGTTTTCTTGTGTGGCTCGCGCACACCGCACGGTCTTCACTCGGACGCGCGGCGCGCTTCAATCCGTTGCGGATATCGCCGTGTATATTGTAGCATTGTATTGCTAAATCCCCCGACCACTAAGTCGGTCTGAGCCAGCGAGACCAAGACAAGACCAAGATCAAAGACTTCTTAAGGTCGTGACAAGACTGAAACCACATAAAAGTGGACCGGTCTCGAGACATACATCACTACAATTTAGTGTGAAAATTCTTATGTTGGTCATACTTCCAACATAAGAATTTTATGAATTTTTCAAGTATTTTTCAAGAATTTTTTTAAGTAGAACCTGTGATGCTGAATGACAGTATCCACACCAGTGCGCTGACTGACAGCCGCACATTCTCCTCAAAACATTGGATTCATCCGCGCTGTGCCATGCCGAGGTACAATTGACGTAAAGTTTATAATTCTGCGAAAAACTAGAATTGCAGATTTCGAACAGAGATGACGACAAAGAGGTAAAACTGGAGACTGCAGCTTTAACAACTTATGTTGTCTATTGACAAAATCTCTATGCATTACCCAGTGCAATTTGGTTTTGACCCCTGACTTTGAATAGTGGTCAAATGACATTTGGGGAGAGAGCAAGGGAGATCAGGGGTCACTTGCTGTTGTGAGATTTTGTGATTTTGTTGCGGAATTATGGCACTGCTGTGGCTGTGAATCACACTGCCCCTGTCAGACCCACTCTGCTTATTTTTAGCAGCTCAGCTTTCAGTGACCTCTAGGCATCCAACACACAAACACAAACACACATTTATACTTAAAACAGATACACATTATTCATGCACACTGTATTAAAGGGATGCGACATGCACACAAGCATGCCCTACAGTTTCAGACACCATCTGCCGAGTATGACCTGGTCACACAGCTTGAAGTCTGACTGCAAATTTTGTGGATCACCTTACAACAAACACACTACACGTTATAACTGCAACATGCAGTAAATCAGTAGTTTTCTCAATATTGCTGTTTTTTTTTTTTTTATTTCTTCCTCTTTTTGGCAGACATATTGCTGTTGCCACTGTTTTTGTAATTCAGATGCTTACTTTTAAGGAGATCATTCAGTTTAAGATTTTTTTGTAATTTACTCACCCTGATGTTGGCCCTGACCTAAATGACTTTCTGCTCTCTTTTTTATGAAATAACTTGGACATTCAGCTCATATTTCCTTTTGTGTTTGATGCTACTGTAGAGAAAAAGTCAGTCGTGCATGTTTGGAACCACTAGTAAAGAAACCTATCCTTTTAAGTACAGTATCAGTCATCTCTCTGTGAAATCTGTCATACCATTTCTCTCTTCTCCATTCCACACCCACTCACTCTATCATTATTATCTCTTTCTCTCCCACTTTCTGTCTCTACAACTGCACAGCAGCAATGAAGCGCTAATCCAGAGCTTGGTTAATTGCATTGTTCTCTGCTTACGGCTGAATCACTGCTTCACTCCAGTCAGATCAAATAACACACTCATGAGCTGCAGCCTGTACTGCCTCAGACAGCAGCTGACATCCAGCTACAAACCAGTCTCAGACACTTAGTCATAATGAGGAAGGGTTGGATGACCATGTAGGTCTTACAAGCATTGAAGACTCAATGAAATCAAACTTTTGGTCCATTTCTGTTGGCTTTCAGGTCATGTATAAGCTAAGACTCTCCCAAAAGGTGGCAAAATATACCTGTATAAAAACAGAAACTCAAATTTGATTTCATGGGACTCCCAGAGAAACATTATAATCATTGATTGCAATATGTATGTTGGATATTTATCATATTTTCTATTCTTACTGTAAAGACATTATAATATTACAAAATAATTATATTCAAATATTATTCAAATATATTTGAAATATTCCAAAAATATACAACAAAGAATTCTGGAGACTGAGGTACTGATACTGAAAATTCAGCTTTACCATCATAGGAACAATGTTGTATTGTAATACTAGTTTACAAAACTACAGTTTTTACTGTATTTTTGATCAAATAATTGCAGCCTTGGTGAGCGTACGGGACTTCTGAGCATAAGTTACCATCTTATCTTATTCCTTCTTAATGTGAGTGTCCATGCTCTCTTAAGCATAAGCATCTCCAGCCACAATCAATAACTCATAGCACAAGTAATGGCAGTACACTTGACCTAGCCTAGGCCATTCAATTTACATCCCAGTGCATTAGCTTCAGTGTTTCTCTTTAACTTTCTTAGGAGTGTGCCCTTTACTCCATGGATCTATCTGACTGCATATGCATGTAAATGATCGAAACATGCATGTTATATGGTAAATGTTTTACATTTAGGCCTATAGTACGTTAAGATTGGGCCCAGACATATAGAGCTGGTCTGTCGTAGTTTGATGGCATGCATCTCTATAGTATAATTTGTGTTGTAAGCATCCTCATTATTAATTAATTTGACCCTTGTTTGCATGTTCTCCTTCCAAGAAAATAAAGCTTTGTTGGAGTTTGTTTGCACGTCTCTTTGTTCCAGGATAATTTCAGAAGCATGGGTCCTCTCAGCACCCGTTAGTCAAAGTATGTAAGACACACTTAGCATTATTTGATATCCTTAGATAACCCCTCTCAAATGTATTGCTACTGCTGTATTCTACTATCTCTCCTGCCCAGTAGTTCTGTTTGGAAATCTTTTTTCGAAACAACTTGTGGCTGAGGAACCTGCCTTTATTCCGGTTGGAACTATACTGTTTTCTATTTGAATGCATTTTAAAATGTAATTTATTCCTGTGATGGCAAAGCCTAATTTTCTATGGAAGCATATGGATTATTGAGATTGAGATGGATTATTGTTCAATTTGAAATATTTTATTTAAACTGTAATGCAATATGTAAAATAGCATTGCATTCTGTTTTTAAATTTACATTTTACATTACCATTCTAGCAATGCTTGGTGCAAAATTAAAATCAAATTCATTTACATTTGCATACACTAGTTTTAATATGCATATTGAAATGCTTTATACGTTGCAAAATTAAAATGAAAATGCTTTACAAAAATGAAGATATATATAAACTGTGATAAAATGATCATTCAAATGTTATTTTTCTTAATTGCATTTACACTCACAGTGAAGATGCTTGCGATTACATTTTCAGGAAATGTCCTGCAATGAATGTAGCAAAATTCAATGTGCACATTGAAAATGCCTTCCAAGCCAATCATGCCTTTCCAATACTCATGCCAAAACTAGTGTATGAAATGGCAAATGTAAATGATGTGATTTCATTTTCAACCAAACGTTGCCAGAATGGTACTGTAAAATGTAAATTTGAATGCAGAATGCAATGCCATTTTGCATATTACATTTCAAATTGACTATTGCTACCCATATGCTTCCATAATTTTCCACAACAATTCCCAGTCTTCAGTGTCCTGTGATCCTTCAGAAATCATTCTAATACGCTAATTTGGTGCTCAAGAAACATTTATTGCTATTACCAGTGTTTAAAACAGCTTAATATTTTTGTACTGACCCCAAACTTTTATATATTTATAAAATAAATTTGTATAATATGTATTTAATGTATTTTGTTTCAAAAGTCTGTGTGCATTTAAACAATGCTGTTTATTACTATGCATTGTTGAATGTGTGTATATAAATGACAATGATTAAAAATGTAAGAACTTTTAAACACCATTTTAGATATAATTTGCCCAGCTCTATGATGCTGTGAAAAAGATTCCTACAATCTTTTGAGCCACAATAACTGCCTTGTCTCTATCACAAGTTTCAATGGCTGGCTTGTGCCGAGAATCTCGCTCAAGACGAAGGTTTCCGCTATCGAGAGCCCAGGGTCTTTCCTGGAGTGAACACAGCTCAGATTGTGCGGCAGCCGGATGTGAGGAGGAGAAGAGACTCAACAGCTCTCTGTGAAAGCTCATGTTGCTGCTTTGAAGTCCACCAGCTTCTTGATTTTAATCCGCCTCTCACTCTCTCCTCTCTCTGGTTGCAATATAAATGTGTAATGTGCTTTTACGTGTAATGTCATTCTTGCGCCAGTGTTCTTAGAGCAGTTTCAAATATTTATCTTTGCTGCGAAGAATTATGGTGATATCAAAGGCTTGATGCTGCATTCCATCGTCTTGCATCGTTATAATGTAGCAGCCGTATCACCCTGCAGCCAAAGACTGGTCACCCGCTGAAGCTAAGCAGGGTGGAGCCTGGATAGTACCTGTATGGTAGACCTCATGGATTGCTGCTGGAAGAGGTTTTAGTGAGGCCAGTAGGGAGTGCTGCTCACACTGTGGTCTTTGTGGGTCCTAACGCCCCAGTATAGTGACAGGGACACTGTCACTTTATACTGATTGGCCTCATCACCGCTAATAAGCTGGTGTGTGGTACAGTAGGCGTTCTGGCGCTCTATGGCTGCCGTTGCATTATCCAGGTGGATGAGGAGATTCCCCCTTCTGTAAAGCGCTAAGAGTACCCAGAAAAGCGCTAAATAAACGTTATGAATTATTATAATAGCAAAAGAGAGATTAGAAAGATTTTATTCATGCATATTTATGTTGTTGCGACCAAATGTGTTACACGTTAAATATAAAACAGATGATTGCAACATGCAATTTTATTTATGGTTATCAAAATGTCTTCATCTCTTCTTTAGGCATGTCTTCCATAAAATGTGTGTGGATCCATGGCTAAATGAGCACTGCACATGTCCAATGTGTAAACTCAACATCCTTAAAGCTCTTGGGGTTATGGTGAGCACACACACACACACACACACACACACACACACCCTTCCGAAGACATCTCCTCGTAAAAAAAAAATCAACAAACAGGTTTTGTAACATTATAGCTATCTCTTGGGAACAATTTTCCACAAAATGTGCAACTAAGTGTACACAACAGACACATTGATCTCAGAGGGCAGCAGGTTATGACTTTTATAAGGCTCTTATTTGATTTGTTATGGTTTTATTATGATTTATCCTCTTGAAAATAACATCAAGCCCTGTAGTTTGTTTGGGATGGATTGCCAGAATTATTACAGAACTGAGAATGTAAAGATATTACTGTAATGAATGACAAAGAGAAGAAGTGTTTCTGGTTATAACACAATACACAACTTTACACATTGTAATGTAATTTGTGGATTTATGATCCAGTAGCCCCCTCTGGTGGTTACTTTAGTTATTTCATGCAATGGTTGGCTGTCATGGCTGATATTCATGTCATGGCTGATATTCAATGCTTTTTTATCTTGGGGTGTGATTTGTTAATACAGTATAATTTGACTAAGACATGTGTGCGCTTGCAGCCCAACCTGCCCTGCGTGGACAACATGGCTTTTGACATGGACCGAATGTCCCGCAGTCAGACTTCCAGCCAGAGGACGGCGCTGGTGGACCTGTCCTCTGAGACCAGCATCAGCATGGAGCCTCTACGCCACTCCAGTTCCTCCCAGCTTCCCTCCGACGAAGAGCTCATTCCTCGCTCCGGAGAGATCAACATCGCTGTCACTAGTAAGAGCAAGGCTTATTTTGTCTTAATTTGTCATTAATGGACGTTCTTTAAAGGTGAAGTGTGTCATTTCTGCATCACCAACCGAAAATAATGGTTGTTTTTGAACAGACTTGTGAAATATTAGAAAACTGGGATATTATTTTAGTATTGTAACGGTGAAAAGGGTCACACACTTCCCCTTTAAGTTTCTCTCTGTCACCTTTATTTCCTCACCTCCCTCCCACGTTGTCCTTCATTTCCTTCCCAGCGGGGGGGTTATCTTTCCTTCCTTCAGAACGCTGACTGCATCCCTCCTCCTGCTGCTGAGGCTGTGCTCAGTGATGTCAGCAGGTGTCTCTGCTCCACCACAGCGTGTGCTGCCCTTTCACTGCAATACATGTTTTGTACTAGACTTCTCACATCACTGCGTGTTTGTCATAGCACTCTTTGGTCTCTCCTATTACATATAAAATGACTGTCAAAATTACATATCATTTTATAATGAGTGAGATAATGCACATTCAGCCAGTTATCATAAAATAAATCACTTATTTTATAATAACTGGCTGTACATTATTGCTTGCATATAAAGTGTGACTTTGCCGATTTTGTAGTGTCGGTAATAAATGTAAGTGAACAATGTTTACTCGTTCACTTGTTTAATTGAAAACTATGGCAAAAACTTTTCCGTCGCAGTGTTCTTTCCGCATTTACAGTATGATTCTTTGCAGCCTTTAGCCACTGCTTACAAGACGCATGATCCAACTCTCTCCCTCAAAACATTTACTCTTTAAATCCGTGCATCCAGAAACAAAAAGTTGAGACCACCAAAAGTTTGCTAAGTATTTCCTACTAAATTAAGGCGGTATTTGACTCTGGGGTAAGCGTATCCACAGCAGACTGGTGGAAGTGGCATTGGACGGCATCATGCCCAGTGCATTATGGGTGTTGATGTTTTCCTACCTATTAGGAAAAAGGGAAGACAACAGCCTTTTTTTCTCTTTTCTCTAGTCAGGTAGAGCTGATTTCAATCAATCTTCTGTGTAGGCAGCCACATCTTATTGAAAGCTAATTTTGCTAGCATTTTAGTCGATATTTATATACAAATATCGTAGTCATAATGCACACATTTGTAAAATGGTTGAACGTTTTAACAGAAAGACAGATCCTTTTGCCTTAAATTTATATTGATTGACAAAATTTACAAGTTTTATTGTTGCGCTATACCATCCACTTCTAGTAATGAACTTAGACCTTCATCAAAAGTTAAATTTAAGTATTGTCTTTAAATATAAGTAACGGTAACAGCCTTTTCTCTGAAGTTTTTTTTAGTGTATAGATTGGGCCGGCGTTTTAAGCAGGTTATTCAGAGCAATAACAACACATAACAAAATGTTGAGTGCAATGAAATTAATCTTAAGAAAAGAAAAGTGCATAACAAGTAAATGCTCACAGAACTGACCTTAGTTGCAGAAACAGATGTGGGGTAATTATGGGTTTTGGGGATAATTTATTATTTTCCAACCATTTGTCCTGGTTCTGTGTCTTTAAAATATTGTGTTCAGCAATTTTAACCCCTCCTGTTGGCTTCTATTTGAATTGTAGTGATTAATTATGTAATAGAGATAGAACCCCAAGCAGGTGTAGCGACTGAACTGCTCTGCAATTTATTATTCAGGATTTTTTTTTTTTTGTTTGTTTCTTTCTGAAATTGTAGTGGTCTCTGTTTTACAGATTAGTTTGAATGTAAATTCTATGTGTTTACAGAATTATATATGTATAAAATCCCTTAGTTTAATTTGTCCTTAAAACCCTAACCCTAACCCACAACAACAACAAAAAACAGCTTCTGTGTGGGATACTTCTAATGTCATGGTCTTCCTAACAGATCTTTGCTGCTTTGTAAATGTCTGGCTAAACCAGCACTAAGCATCATGTGCTACGTTCTGTTTCGCTCTCGTTTTTATCTGTCGTTCGGATCATCGCTTGCCTGTGGCTTCCTCTCTTGTTTCATGGATTAGAGAAGTGTTCCTCTTTTCTTCACGCCTCCACCTGTCTCCAGTTTCCTGTTCTCTTCGGCTCTCTGTCGAGATGATACCCTGGCTCCGCCTTCAACAGAAAATGACTCCTCCCCCTTTTACTCTGTTAACAGAAGAGTGGTTTATTGTTGCCAGCTTCAGCGTCCTCTCTGCTCTCACACTTTGTTACATGATCATCAGAGCCACTGCCAGCGCCCCCACCGATGAGTGAGTATTGTAGATCTTTTCAGAGTATCATAGCATCCCTAAATACATTAACAAAGAGGAAATGTACCTACTGTTCATCAAGATCAGTGTACTACACTTCTCTAAGAGAAAATACTGCAAGCTAAAAGTCTTTAAGATTAATCAAATCATTATTTTATAATCAATTTATTTAGGTACATGTTATATATTTCCTAAACATATTAATGAGTTTGCTTTGTTGTTGTTGTTGTTGTTTTTTTTACTATGTATATTTATCTTTTACAGCCTTAAGTTGGAATGAAGATGTTTTCTGGAGTCCTGAATTCTAAAACAGAAATGCATCCTGAAAAGCAAAGTTGCTGATTGCACTTCAAGTCCACTTCAAACACATGCAGTATTAGTGTTAATAGAGCTAACTTTCACCTCTGTAGATGTGAGCATGTTAGGTTTTCACTGGATTATATTGCTGATTAACTTCTGTTTCACGCAATTGCTTTATTTAATAAGCTCTTTTTTTATTATTTTAGATGAATATTGTTAAATGTTAAATGAATAGAAATATGTCAAATACATAGAAATGTAAAATGTTTTTTTTTAATACTTTGGTTTATATTTGTCATGTAAACAAATTGTTTGAAGACATTTTTTGTGTATTAAAATTGCTTTGTCCAAACAGCTTTGTTGTGCTGAATTGTCCAGTAAGTTAGTAGTTACTACTAGTACTAAGTTGTATTCCTTGATACTGTTTTGATGCTTCTGTCTCCCTCAGTTTACCATGGTGAGACTCATGAATCATTTTTTTACTTGCAGATGAGCAACCTTCTTCATTGTCACATGTCTTTTAGACATACAATATTGATTTGCTGCAGCATATTCTAGCTGTAAAGTTTTTTCAGCACTTCCTTACAGAACGTCAAGCTAAGAGCAATTAAAATACTGCAACATATCCATGAGTACAGGTTGTGTTTTGTATAAGCCTAACCTTTAATGCATGAGGATAAAGATTACCGGTATGCAACTCAAGGTCAGGGCTGGAGTCCTGGAGGGCCAGTTTAGTTGGAAATCTAAAAACATCTGAACATGAAGGATTACTTGCTGGAGTTAAGCATTATTTGCTTTATTGTTGTAAATGTATAGATTACCCCCCTGTCTTTAAGTCTGCGGTCGTTTGAATACAATTTATGTATCTAGTCCCTCTGGCAGTAAAAAAAAAAAAAAACAAAAAACGCATCCATAGGCTTACCATACTGAATCAGGGCAAGACAAAAACACATTTTGAAAGTGGGATTGATGGAGTATTGAATTTAAATTTTGGCAGTTTTCAACATAAAAATCACAATGTACTGTTGACACCATTTTTAAAGATAAAATATCCAGTGCATTCTCAGACATTTTTATTTATTTATGTAAATCAGTAATGTTTTTATTTACATATCTACTGTTGCATTATTGTTATGCGCATACTGTGTGTAATTAAATACTGTTTAATAATGTGCAATTGAATTGAACAGTTATTGCAATAATTTCAATGTAGTCTACTGGATATAATATAAATTAAAGCTGCAAGCAGCATTTATCGGTGTTCAAGCAGTTCAGGCCTTTAAGCACAAAAGCATCGAAAGGCATTCAATTTTATTTAACATGCATTTATCCACGGACATAATAGATGTAAAACACCATTTACAATCAATACAGTCAATTTAACATTGGAAATGCATGGTTTTAAAGCTTTTTTAACAGTTATAGTGCCACCTATGGTCCGATCTCCATGAAACTGTGCATGCTTCTTCGGCATGTTATGAGACATATGCTCATCAATTTTTTGTGAAAATTTTGAGTTTTCCTTTAGTATTTATATGATTTTGGGTGCATTTTGTCCCATCCCTTTTGTAAACGACCCTGTTAAAGCCAATGAAAAAAAAAAATTCTACTTTTTTTCGATAATTATTTATCTAGAGAGTCCAGAGAATAGTATTGACAAACAGTATCTGACAAAGTTTCACAGCTCCAGCCCTTACGGTTTGGGCTGCACGATGCGTTTTAGGGGATTTTTTTTTTCTTTCTAGCAAATACAATAGGTTTTCAGCACTTGAACACCTAATAATGAGAGACCTTTTTGGCGATTATAGCGCCACCTATGATCCGATCCTCACGAAACTTTGCATGCTTCCTAACCATGTTAGGACACATATGCTCATCGATTTTTGTGAAGTTGTGACTTTTTGGGGGGGATTTAGGGGCTTTTGACTGAATTTTGCCACAGACCACTATGTAAATGAGCCTGTTACAGCCAACCAAATGCAAAATTTCGATAATTATTGATCTAGAGAGTCCAGAGAATAGGCCTAGACTGGTTTGGTCCCGATTGGGCAAAAAAACCAGGGACTAGTTCGCAAAAGTGGGTTTTGGACAAAAACCGAAATAACAAATGTTTGCTCCAAATGGAAATCCGAGATATACATCTTGTCCGCCTTGAGCCAGGGATTACAGTGGTGTAAAAACATTGAAGCTAAGTCAAACGGTCTAGGAGTTATGAGCAATTTAGTACTTTTGGTTGCTGTAGCGCCACCTATGGGCCAATCGGGGTCATACTCTGATAGCTTCTCCACAATTCGAGGCCCTACCATCTGACAAAGTTTTACAGCTCCAGCCCTTACGGTTTGGGCTGCACGATGCGTTTTAGGGGATTTTTTTTTTCTTTCTAGCAAATACAATAGGTTTTCAGCACTTCGTGCTTGAACACCTAATAATATAGAAAAATGTAGACCTATAAAATGTACATGCCCATAAAATCCACTTAAATCAAGGAGTATAATCACAAACTCTTCCATAAATTACTGACTTCCACTGAAAAGGTTGATGGTAACTGGTCCAGTGTCAAGGACATAATAAGTGTTGATTACACGTAACCGACCGACATTGATTTTGTGCTGAGATGAAATGTCAGATTTGAGCACAACCTTTATGCGGAAAGGTGAATAAGTATTTTCAGTCTGCAGGAGCAGAATCCTGAATACTTTATTAACATTCAGCAGAATCATTCCTCCTTTTATCTTTCTCATTTCTGTATCCCTGTTGTACACAAAAATGAAACCCCATCATTTGTGTTGTTTGTCTGTTTACAGGTGGTCATTTCTTCAACCGTAATTCGGTGTCTCCGCGCAGTGTAGATTATGAAATGGAGCTTCCAGACATCCAGGCATCACTGGACATGTACGACGACAACAAATCCTGAGGACATGCGTCTCCTCCACCTCAAGTCCATTCCTCCATCGTCCTCCCCGACCCAAGACTATGGGGATCAACCTTTTATGAGTGTGAAATGGAGTATTGACAGTGAACACACTGACTCTGGCGATAAACTCTACCACTGTAGAATGACCGGTCGCCTCAAACGGATGTGATTGGACTACTGCACCATCATCAGCCTCACACTTTTACACTTTTTTTTCTCTTATACTTTTTGAGAGACTATTTCAAATGACATCTTTTCACAGACAGCTTTGGGAAGTACCTCTTTGTTCATTTCTCTGGTCGCCCCAAATGTCATCTCAGCTGTTGTCTCATGTATGTAATTTGCTGACCGTTTTTACGTTCCAATGCTTATTATTGTTCCAGATGGGGAAAACTCTCTTGAGGACAGTTGTGAAAGCAGGCTTGGAAGCTGAGCCTTCATAGAAGAGCTGTCTGCTTTGCATCTCTCAGTGCTTTGCATCTTTGTAGCTAAAGGGTCTCAGATGCGAACCAAGTCGTCCTTCATATGCTCAAATGCTGCAGCTTCATATATAGTGCTGGCCTGTTAGCACTCGAAAATCCTCGACAAATCAGTTACTTCCTCGTAGAAACATGCAGTATTTCTGTGTACATAGAATGAAAATGTTTGAAACATGTATTTAAAGAAAAATCCTATGGAATACCTTCAGTGAATACTAATCAGTTCCAAGCAAGGGGACCTAATACATATATATATATATTAGAATTCATACAGTATATATATATATATCTCAATTTGTCTTTCCTGGATCGGATCTTGTCCGTGCACAAGAGTGTCTGTCTATTTTGTGTTCTCATTTTTGGGGGATGGCGTTGTGACCTTACTGGGCTGCATTCACAGAAATCTTCATGTTGATTCTGCTTCAGATTTGTTTTATGTCATATAGTTGCAGTCAGGACAGGGCAGAAGCTCTACTCTGAGACACTCAGTGAGTAACGGCTCTGCTTTATGTGGGTCATGATAATGGGCTACTATGTTACATACTGCCTCGGCATTAAACTTGTCATAATTGCCTATACTGCTGTCTTTCTTTGGGTGAGGTTTAAACTAAATACAACATGGATCAGTGTTATTTTAGTATTGTTTAATACAGTATTATAGTATTTATTAATTGTTTATATTTGCTTAATTTTCAGTTTTCATTTTAGTTTCAGTTGTAGTAATTGAATGTGCTTTTGTTATGTTATTTTATTTTATTATATTTTAAATATGTATATTAAGCTCTTTTTAATCCAATTAGTATTAATTTTAGTACTTCTTTTTTTTTTTTTTACTTCAGTTAGTTGCCAAGGCAAAAATTCTCATATCTAATGTGTATTTTTCTTATTATATTTGAGCTATTATTTTTAGTTAAGGGCATAATATGTAAATTGTTTTCACCACAAGAGGGCCCGATTTCCAACAATAACAAAGGCGTCTGGTTGATGACGCCGTGATGAACTGAATTATGGGACTTGCTGTCAAGCTGATGGACCATAATGTTTATGGATGAGAGCAAACATTCATGTTTTTTTAACATTACAGAGGTATGAAGCAGGGCACGGTTGCTAAAGAGACAGATATTACACACGAGTCCCGCGCGGATATAGGAATAAGGACATTTGTTTTATGCACATTTGCTCACCTGTCTAATAAAGCTGTCAAGGCGTGACTCGAGAAGCTCTGTCAAGTCCAAGTTAGTCAAGGACGTGGAGCTCTCGGCATCTCAAAAACGCCACGCTGATATTGATCCTCATTTTAGTTCTCCTCGTTTGTCCCAAAGTCTACTTTCCATGGTATGTTTGAAAGAATGCCGCTAAACGTTACACACTACACAGTTGTTCAGTTATTATAAACTTACTTTTTAACTGAATTACATGGGCAACATTTAAGTGTGTGCCCTTTTAATTTCATGGAAAGTATTAAGAAAGAAAAATATTTATTTTGAATACCATAGATTTGTAAGAGGGCGCTCATAATGTTTTCATCAGCCGCTAGAGGGCGATGGAGCGCTCTGCTCTACTTCTGCTGCAGGAAATTATCTACAGCAGAAATGAAAGTTGCTAAAGAGAAACGTTACTGAAGGCTTTGTTAAACGTTTGTTTATGGTTCAGTTTAAATGGCGTTTATTTTTATATTTGTTGTTTTGATAATTTACCATGAACTGCTCAAGGGATCGATCAGCGTCGAACTAAGTAGGAAATATCTGACGGACGAAGAACGACTATTGACTTTTCAGCAAGAAAATGAAAACAACGAACTCTATCAGAGACTGATTAATTTCCAGGTATATTTAGTGGACTAACATTAATATCTCACGTTACAGTGACAGCATTAAATCCTCATTCATCAACAATCGCTGCCTCTATGATTAAGAGACAATAGATGCGTCTCATAACCTAGTGAGCTGACTAACGTTAACTAACTTAGTATGTTTAGGCAACATGATGAGGACTCTCTCACAAATTCTGCTCCTTGGATGCCCAGAAATTCTGTCTAGGTTGACACCTTAATTTACTCGTTTTGAAGGCAGCCAATAACTACATGATTATAATATATTTAAATAGTAAATAGTAAAGTAAATCTACTACAGTTAGTAACCATGTCTCAATACAGACATATATATATATATATATATATATATATATATATATATATATATATATATATATATATATACATACAGTTCAATGCATTTGGCCAATGTCAAGACAATCTCCTGAACTCCAAACTGAATGTCAGAATGGGAAAGACAGGTGATTTAAGCAATTTTTTGCGTGGCATGGTTGTTGGTGCCAGACGGGCCAGTCTGAGTATTTCACAAAATCTGCTCAGTTACTGGGATTTTCACGCACAACCATTTCTAGGGTTTACAAAGAATGGTGTGAAAATTGCATTAAAGAGAAATTGAACAGGTGTGTGTGTGTGTATATATATATATATATATATATATATATATATATATATAGGCAATGCCAGTAATTCCATTAGTTTTTGTCATGTGATATGTATTTCCTCATGTGATTCAGATCTTACCTGTTGCACAAGACACCTTTTTTGATGTCTTGTTTTGTCACATTGTAGAGTTCCGTCAAGAGACAAGCTTTTCTGAACTCACAGTTGAAGAAATCAAACCATTCTGCCCGTTATGGCATCAACCAGTTCTCTGACTTCTCTCCAAAACAATTCAAAGGTTAGTAAATGCAGGATAAGGATGCTTACAGATGGATTCACTTTTTATATAATGGCAACTGACCCGCATTTGATTTTCAGAGCGATATCTCACAGCTCGGGCTGAGACGGCTCCAAAGTTTGACCCATCTAGGGCTGAATTTCAAATTAAGACGAATTATCCACCCAGGTTTGATTGGAGGGACCATGGAGTTGTCGGACCAGTACGAAACCAGGAGTCGGTAGGGTTTAGATGTTAAAGTCACCATGAAATCCAAATGGTTTTTTAGGGAATATTGCTGTATTTATTATAAATAATTTATCTGTCCATCATTATTATTATTATTTTAATTCATGCCCTCATAATCTTTAATTAAAATAACTTCCTCTCCCTTATGCAATGGCATCTTTTCTATTCTCTGATGATGATATGTTTACTGGCATGAGGGCGGGATCAACCTGTCACTCACATGAGATCCCGGCAATAGCAAGCCACAACCATCCAATCAATTACACATGGACGATATCAAGTCCCGCCCTATATTATTTGAGAAGCTTTCCCACTTGGACATACGTCACAACAGGGAGGAAGACATAATCACAACTTCTGTTCCGTGACGACTTAAGATCTGAACTTCACATTTTTTCACTCATGCATACTCAGAACATATGACCTTTTTTGTTACAATGTAATAGACATATTTACTCCATTTCTTTTTGCTCTTTCTTGCAGTGTGGAGGTTGCTGGGCCTTCAGTGTGGTGGAGGCCATTGAATCCGTGTCAGCTAAAGATGGTGGAAAACTACAGCAGCTCAGTGTGCAGCAGGTTATAGACTGCTCTTATGAAAACCACGGCTGTAATGGTGGATCCCCTGCTGAAGCTCTGTACTGGCTCATAGAGGTGCTGTCATGTGTCTCTTTTTCTCAAAATGATGTAACTGGGGAAATTGTATAATCTAAATTGATAATAATAGTGTATTCACAACTACCAGTGATTTTAATTGCTTTAACCAATGGTGGATCCTGCTCTCCTTTTTGTGGGCAAGTTTCCTGCAGAGTTCAGCTCCAGTCCAGTCCTAATTAAATACGCCTCAACCAGCTAATCAAAGTCTTCAGAATTACCTGAAACGTCCAGGCATGTGTGTTGGAGCTGCACTCTGGACTGCGGGATTAGACACTCCTGCCTTTAACCAATAGTTTGTTATGGCATATTTTCTTATGTGAGGATTACATCTTAAAATATATTATCAGTATAAATACAGTATATATATATATATATATATATATATATATATCAGTTCATTTAAAATAAATTGTAATAATATTTCTCAATATTTCAATTTTTTCTGTAATTTTTGCCTTGGTGAGCATAAGAGACTTCTTTCAAAATGTAATTTCTTTTAAAAAAGTCATTGCCCCGAACTTTGTGTAACAAGGCTATCCAAACGTTTTAGTAGTTATATTATCTTTTGTATCATATTCCCCTAAATTTAGCAAACGAAACATAATTTTACAGCTGATTAAAAGCAGTAATTAAGTTGGTAATAGTGCTGAAATGTATTGTGAAATCCACATTCTAAGCTTTTAAATGACATCTGTTTTGTTTGTTTTTTGTTTTGTTTTTTGTAACAAGCATTTTAATTAGGATTTTAATAAGAGTGTATTTAATTAGCTAGCCGCTCCAGTTCTGAGGGTTAAAACTCAAGTAAAGTTGTCGGTATCATCCACAACAAGCTTCTAATTAAAAATCTCTGTTATCCTCCCATAAGTTCCATAACTGGCGCATCTAATATCCTCCTCTGAATGTCCGTTTCTATTTCAGACCAAATTGAAGTTAGTGAATCAGGCGGAGTATCCCTTCAAAGCCGTAGCTGGAAGCTGCCAGTACTTTCCTCGTTCTCATGAAGGAGTGATAGTGAGGAATTACTCCAATTATGACTTCAGGTAATAGATGTAGCAAGCAGATACCTTGAGCTTTACATCAACGGTCAGCTGTGCCAGTGCATTAAGTGCAGTGTAGACCTTTTGTACAATTAAATATTTTAAGGTTGAAGTTTGTTGGGATGTGGGCAAATGTTTTTTGTTTACTCATCTTTTCTTGTCAGCTCTGTTTGCTACTCGGGGTCACTGACTGCACACTCACTAAGCTCACATACGACTGGTCAAAAAACAAACGCAGCACTTCTGACCTGCGTTTCAGTGTTAACATTTATGTTAGATGTCACTGTCTTACATTGTGTTCTTTCTGTGACAAGACATGATTTCTGTCCTAACCAACTGGGTCAACTGTTTTACTGGTTGCATGGTTTCCATGTAACAGTAAAGACTAAAAAAAAACAGTTTAAATAAATGCTGTATAATTTGGATGGATGGATTTATCGTTATCCATATTCTGCAATGTAATGTCTGAAGTAAAGCTAGTAAGTACTGCATACATTGGGATTGATATGTTGTTCTAGTGTACATGAGGAGGTGATGATGAGTGTCCTGGTGGCGTCTGGGCCTCTTGTGGTCATTGTGGATGCCATCAGCTGGCAGGATTACCTGGGCGGCATCATTCAGCATCACTGCTCCAGCCACAATGCCAACCATGCCGTACTGATCACCGGTTATGATACCACAGGTACACACACACTCACACAGACACGGGCGGTTAAACTCTCTTTACTTGTGCCTCAGAGCATATAAAGGTTCAGAGTGCTGGCCTTCACGGATTACGTCCTGTCAAGGACACGCGGTTGAGCCGACACTGGCAAATACTGGCTGTGTGCCAACATCCCAGAAAACTGCCTGATGTGTCTGCGGTATAATCAGCAAGCTGTCTGCAGCTTTTATACACTCCTTTGATTTGTTTTCTCCTGTTTGTTTACTACTTTGAATTAAGTACTTGCAGTGTAAAGTAGAGAAATTGATGCACCATTGGCTGACTAATGGTGTATCAAACAATACATGAATGCAATACAATAATAATGCAAACAATACATGAACGCTATTGTAATTAATCAGTTGGTCAATATAATATATAATAATATTTGGATATAATTATAATCTGACATGTTTACTAAAAATAAATAGATCCATATTAAGTACACAGTTCGACAGAAAACAGGGTCAAATTTTTAAGTAACACTTCTTTATCTGTATATGTGTGTACTTTTTTTGTGTAAATTCAGTGCGAATGTATGAAGCCCACTAAAGAGACACTGGGAAATTAAAAAAATATGAGATGGGGTGGTGAACAATCTTATTTCAAAACATTTGCGTTCCCCTGAGAAAGTTTGCGTTCACTTGCAAAACTCTTTCGTTCTTTTGCAAAATATAGATTTTTTTCTTCCTATCTCATATTTTTCCCCTTCAACCATGTCACTTTATGGGCTCCGTACAAATGTGTACTTAAAACAAGCCTTATTGCAGTTAATCAGTTGGTTTTTGGGTTATTTGGTTATAATTAAAAAAAAAAAAACTATTTTGTTTCCATACCATTATAAGTGTATGCTATGTATTATGACTTTTTTTGTACTAATTTTCTATCTCAGGTGTATTATCTCTATGTCTTCATATTTTATCACAGGGGAAGTGCCATACTGGATAGTACGCAATTCATGGGGGACCTCATGGGGCGATAATGGATATGTTTACATCAAAATAGGGAACAACATGTGTGGTAGGTTTGTGTATGACCCACTTTTAATGCCTTTCTACTTTGCTGACAGTTTCCCAGACAAGTAATAAACACAATGCATCCTGCTGTTGTGCGCATTCATAAATATTCATGAAGTGTTGGACGTTGGCAAACACTCAATACTGTCAGCAATGTGAAAATACAATTATAAATTCCTAGTTTAAATTCATATCAGATCATTTGTAAATGATGAAGTGAGCTTATTTTTTGATTGTGATCTTTGGGTCAATTACTTTGACTTTACGCAATGTCAGATGAGAATCAACAGCCACTCTTTTGTTTTTGTTTTTTCTTTTTTTCCAGGAATTGCTGACAATGTTGCTGCTGTTTTTGTGTGATTGTCAATAATCTTTTGTACTTCCGCTATAAGACCGTATCAGATCAACATTTTAAAATATCAGCCTCAGGACGGAAATCCTCCTGTGTAGCTGAGAAGGCTGTAAAAAATCTCAAGTAGCAAATCCAGTTGACTCATGAATGCAGAGCAAGTACGCTGCTATTTGAGCTTATTCCTAATATGTAATATTCCTAATACATCATAATACATCATATTCCTAATCCCAGACACTGTAGCCCAAAACGCACACTAGCTAGATCTGTCTTTAAGAATGTTTTAATCTTCAGAAAACACTGTTAGTAAGTATAGTAAGTGCACAACTGAACTGAACGCTTACTGTATTGTGACATTGCACTGATGGACACACAAGTGAACTCATCTGAGAAAAATGTGAACATTTGTTTTATATTTTTTGAATACTATTACAGCCTTTAATCTGTAAGTGATAATCACTACAGTACATTATGTACTAGATATTCAGAATTGATCTGCTTTTTTACACATTTGTAACTACAAACTTGGGTTACACTTTAATAAGGTGCAATAATATTAATTTAACACATATATTTAGGGTTAGTTGCTTGTAAGTATGTATAATTTGTTGATTATTCTTACTATAGTAAATAAATGTAAGATGTGTTACAATGAAACTTCAATAGTGTTAACCAAAGTTTACTTTTTATTGTGTTTAGCAATTGCAGTTGCATTTTAGGAATAATCTGACATGTTTACTGATATTGAATAAACTTATACATACTTAACTTAACATATACTATTTAAGTACACTATTTGACAGAAAACATTGTCTATTTTTTTTCCAAATAAACAAGAAGTAGGCTATCATAATATCTGTATGTGTATGCTCTTTATTTACAAAATATAAATCAGTTAACTACATATGTGATGCGATCTGGGAAAACCCACACGGTAAAACTTTAATTATTACAGGTTTTGATAGCATAAATTTCGTCAAATCGTCGGCTGATCGCTATAATTTGCGAAAAACAGGAGTTAACGTTCACTTGCTGTTAGCAGGACGATTGACTTTTTCATATAACATACTTTAGTAATCGTCATAGATTGGATATCATTCAAAAGCTTACGAACTCAAAATGCATTCTATGAAAACCGTATTTGAATTTGGACGATTTAGAGGTGAGCAGTTATAACGTTCGATTAAAAAAAAAATTGGATGAAGTTGTAGTTTACTCAGAAATGGCGGGAAATGTGCATTGATATACCTTTATTCTAGATGTTATGTGGTTTATTTTGATAGGTGAACTGTCTTTGTAGTGTGTTTTTTTTTTTCCCACCATAAATCTCTATTTTTATGCTCTAAACAAGTGAATTTTGCCAATATATATTCAGAGATGCTAGACAAAATGTTATAGTAGCTATAATTGAATGAAAACCCAATTTTGACAAAACACAGCCAAAAAACGTACCAGCGTGACATGTGACGGGTTTCCCGTATCGCATCACATATGTTAGAATATTACGTTACATTGACAGTATATAAACAAGTGCAATAACAGCGTCACTGATTTTATTTTGGTTGACGCCGTCTTAAAATTCCATTTGTGAACATCTCAGCACAGCTTTGTAGCCTCTCATTCTAACATTTAAAAAGACTTTAGTGGCAAATGTTGGTGATGGGAGACTTGTGAGGTTTGAAGCTTCTTCTTCTGTACTCTGTAAACGCTGTTCATCCTTGCCTCATCCTCCATCTGTTTAGTCTGAGTCATCGCTGCTGCTGCAGTAGGAGCTGTCGCAGCATTCGGCCGTGTAGAGGAAACTGTGCTCACTCGGGTCCAGCTTGGGTATCCATTCTCTCGGAACCAGGAAAGTGGCCAGGTTAAACAGATCCACAAACACCTTGTAGCGATCACTGGCAGAACATATTCAGGTTCATGAATAAGCATTCCAATACATAGGCTGTACTTGTGTTTGAGTGGTTCGTCTCCAGGAAATGGCTTGCATATTGCTGCCATGCCAATTCACATTTCATTTAGCATTATGTTTCACATGGATAATTCCAGCAGATGCAGATTGCTTCATCTCGATTTGTCCCAGATTACTTGGCCTACCTGACAGTGGAGCGCAGGTACTGATAGCCTGAAGAGCCTCCTGTGCCGCCTTTACTGCCAATCATCCTGTGCACCATACACACGTGGTTGTCTAGGGGGAAATTCAGGTATAAATTATGCAGGAAGTAAAAAATGAATGCATTATTGATATGCAGAAGAAAACCTTTTGTTCAGTGTTGACACGCTTCTATGAGCCTTTGCCCAAAAGGGTGTTTAAGGTCAGATTTATTTGCAGTTCTGAAGCTGTTTTCAGAGGTATCACATACATCTCCATTTTGTCATGAGGGTGTCGATGTCCATCAATGATGTCAGGAGTTGGAAAGGAACCTGAAATCGGGGCTCTTCTCTGAGAACAGACGGTGAGAAGTTGAGTTACAAATGAGTTTGAAAATAAATTACATTTTTGTTCTTCATCAAGGTATCAAAATGTTAATCTCTCTCTCTCTCTCTCTCTCTCTCTCTCTCTCTCTCTCTCTCTCTGTATATATATATATATATATATATATGGAACATTTATAACATCTACAATAATCTGAAATGTTTCTTGAGCATCATATCAGATATCAGCAGGCATCATGTGACACTGAAGACTGAAGTAATATAATAACATTTTCAAATATATGCAAGTGTTATTTTAAATTGTAATACTGTTTTTACTGTATTTTTGATCAAATAAATTCAGTATTGGTGAGCATAAAGGACTTCTTTAGAAACAAAAAAAAAATATTGAATGATTGTATAAACAACATAACATTTACTTTGGATAGTACAGCATCTTTGTACTAAATTAGAGGGTCCTCTTAGATGTATACCTGTAGAAGTATATCATCAGGGCTCCCTGCAGTGCTTTATAGGACAGCCTCCTCTGTCCTGCTCAGACAAAACAACATATCCCACTGTAACTGCTAGTGAATGTGGCACTTGACATTGACATTGTACACACTAGAGGTTTGCTGACCAGTGCTTAGTAAGTGATCATGTCTTCTCTCATCAAAGAGCGATACGAAAACGTCTTTCTGCTTAATGAGGTCGGCCAACATCTCCTCTTTCATCTCCGAGGCTGGTTTTTGCTATTAAGAAGAAACACGAGTTATCACTTAAAACTTTGATTTGAGAACTGCACAGAATTATCCAGGGATCCTCCACAAACCTCTATATTTTCTTTCTCGCTCCCGAGTCCCTCAAGAATATTTTCTTCCAGTTTCCCCCAAAAATTAAAGCCATCTTCCTCCAAACCAGGCGTTCTCTCCAGCCATTGCTGAAAAGTATTGATTGCTTTTCATGAGAAATGTTAAACGCCAGATTAATCCTGACTATATATAATAGTCCATGCAACCTATTCCTCTCTGAATACCAATAACCTACAAAGAAGTCTAGTAAGTCACAGCTCTTGTGTTGAATTTCCCCGATTACATTGATTAATACAGTATTCATGACTGATCTTATAATGTGATTTCCCAGGTTTACCTCCACTAACTGAAGAAGCGTGGGCTCCTGTTCTGAGTTGAGGAGCAGCTCATTTTCCTGGTCACGGAAATTATCCCGGTAATGCCTTCTGTTGTAGGGGACCCTCTGGTTTTGTGGGACCCCAATCTTGTTTTCCAGCAGTCGAAACTGCAGACTCTGGAAGCCTGAAGCCGGCGCGAGATATTCCCTGTGCACAAAAACACAGATCAATCCAGCTAAACACAATTATGCTAAACTGCCATTGACTTTGATTTAACAAATTAGTGCCATCTAATGCTTATTTACTGAGTTAGCTATATCCAGTCTCTGGAGTGTTCGTACATTTCCAACAGCAATTTTGCTCAACCAATGCTGTTATCTAGGAAATGCAAAACAAGTTTTCAGGAATTGCTTTTCATTGTCATAATTAAAACTATATATATACCTTACCTGAAGTCATAGAAGTCTAAGGCAGTCATGGTTTCCAGAACAGAGAACTGGTCGAGCAACAGTCTGAATATCATCACAACCCTTTGGATACGAGTGTTGACTTTGAGCATGTTTCGCTCGTCACGTACCTGAGGATACAGTTAGTCTTTATAAAGTCCCTGAAACAGGACATTTAACTAGAGAAGTATCTTAAAGTAGACTGAAGGTGGCAGCCTCATGCTGCAGTGCGCATTCTTTCTTTCAACTGAACTACATATATCATAAAACTGAAGGCTCGGGCTGTTTATCATTGTCCAGAAGCCCCACAAACGATACATTAACTGAATTTTACATTAGAAGCATGCATATGCGCTGCTTTGACAAGTATTCCTAATAATCCCTATAAAACAGTATATAGAGCATCAAAATAGCTTGGGGTATAAAAAACATTTGCATGACCGGTTTACCAATAATACTTTCATTCAGCAAGGACATATTAAATTGATCAAAAGCAACAGGAAATTGCAGCACGCCATTCTGTTTTCAGTGATTATAAGAAATGATTCGTGAGCACTAAATCAGCATATTAGAATGATTTCTGAAGGATCGTGTGACACTAAAGACTGGAGCAATGATATTTTGCTATCACATGAGTAAATTACACTCAAATATATTCAAATAGGAGTATTTATTTTATCAAATAAATGCAGCCTTGGTGAGCAGACATTTTTAAAAACAAATCATATACCGTCCCCAAACGTTTGAATGGTTTTGAATGTGATGCAGAAAATATCAGATAATATTATTTCAAATGTTTGCCCTGATTTTGTCTGAGCTATTGAGCTGAGTTAGTGTTTTATTTTCAGATATTTATGAAAATCATGCATCATCTCTTGCTAGTCTCTTCTTTGTTCCCTGTCAGCCTGAACCTTTATTAGATGTAAGATTCTATATATTAACACAATTTTAATAAATATTAATCTTATTACATTAATTAAAAGCAGGTCCATTCGGAGAAAAAATGGAGCTGCAGCTGTTGATGATGACCCGCTAACACAAATCTTGTTTGTATTTGTGCAACTCACATGTCCGCTGATAAAGATTTCTCTCACTGAGTCCAGCTCCCACAGAACTTGTTTAAACCACAGTTCATATGCTGCAACAGAAGGAACAAGGTAATCATTTCTTCAGGTTACATATGAAAAGTCATTATGCTTCGAGGTAAATGCACAGAAGTGCAGTGACATTGGTCTCTGGGCTTCTCGAATAAACCTTTATGACACACTGTATGAAACAGCATGTATTTATGGATTATGTGTGGTTGTGTGACTCTGGATTCACTGGTGTGGTGGATTCTGGATTGCTGACGATTGTTCACATTTTGTGGTTTACATTCAGCTTTGAGCTTTTGATTTAGTCTTGCCTATTTTTGGTTGCAGTGAAACTTGTCAACATTCAGCGTTATAAACAAGGAAATAAGCTTTGGTTTATGTCGTGTCTTGGGAGCATTCATTGGAGAGAGGCTATGACTGATTTGCCCAAAGGCTGTTTAGCTTTTGTGTGGCTCACCTTGATGTGTGACGATAAACAGATGTTCGTCATGGATCTTGTTTCCCTTCAGCTCACTTTGAAGCATCTGAGATGTCACTATTTTATCCAGCTGGGGATGAGAGAACGCTTTGTTTCATGAAAAGCAAGCCGAAAAAGTCTGTAATAACCAAACTCAATGTGTCTATTTAAAATAGAACATAAAAAAACGAACTACATCACTGTTTGCCATTACAATCTGAGATGCATGTCATTTCCAGCATTTATTCATTTGGAAATCTAGAAAAAAAAATCACATGGTGTTCTGATCGCTCAGCCCATTATAATACACTTTAGACTCGAGGACCGCTCAGCAATTAATCATGAACTATTTTAGGATAAGCTATGCTTTATGCTTATTAAAATATATGAAAATGCATGAGTTCATGTGCAGTTTACCTGCAGATAGTCACCATAGATAAGACCTCCTTTGCTGGCCTTGTTAATTCCAGATTGAGAATCATCATTCTCATCTTCTTTCAGATGCTGCTTACTAGCTGACCTGTTTTTCCATAAAACACAGAAACATTAGTGTGCAACATTCAGCGTAGGTTTGTGTTCTGAAGTTAGTGATGATATGTGTCTTTTGGGATTAGCTGTATAATCTCAAATATCTAAAAATGTTGAAAGCTGGAAATACATACAAGAATGTCTTCTGAAAATATGGACATCCACTCATGGCTGAAATGATAATATGTCAAGCTGTTCTTTTACTCAACTTTTAACAGTCAGTTCTCAAGGATGTCCACAATTTTATAACTTTTCCCCACATGCTTGACTGACCAATCATCTCTAGAT